ATCTGACTTGGAGGAAGTGCCGCCAGGATGTTCCTTTGAGGCAAGGATGGTGAAACTTCATCTCACATTTATGAGGCATGTTAGGAGGGGCAAGTCCTTACAAAAAACCATCATGCTGGGAAAGGCGGAGGATCAGCAAAAAGGAAGACTCTCAGCAAGGTGGAGTGACACAGTGACTGCAACAATGTGCTTGAGCATATTGGAGATAGAAAGTATGCTGGAGGACAGAGCCAAGTTTACATCTATTGTTCATAGAGTCTCACCAGAGTAGCTGGTGGATTTAAACCAAGTGCCTTTGGGAGTGCATCATCGATTCTTACCAGTAGGCCACCAGAGCTCCCTTATAATTGGGTGGTGGTGGTGGTGGTGGTGGTAGTGGTGTGTACTTTGAGCTGGAACCCACCTACAGCTGGCTCTCTGGTGGGTATTCAGAGGCAGCACATCGTGTGCGAGAAGATTGCCCATCTTTCTTCCATGGAGCAGCTGGTGGATGCAAACTGCATGCCTTTGGGATTGCAGCACAGTTTCTTACCACAAGGCCCCCAAAACCACCCTATAACTGGGTAGGCTGATCCAAATGTGAGACCTTTTTGATCCACCAAGGAGATTTGATAGCTTGCTAGTGATGTAAATAAGGCATATAGTACTCATCTAGGGTGCCACGATGCAAATAAGGTATATAGACCACTAATGTCACTTGATATGCATGTGAGAGTGGGACAATAAATAAGGATAACAGAGAAAAATTGATGCCTTTAAACTGTAGTATTGGGGAAGAGTGCTGAATATTCCGTAGACTGCCAAAAGAACAAGCATGTATGCCTTGGAGAAGGTGCAGCCAGAGTTCTCCCTGGAGGCAAAAATTATTAATAAAATGTCACCTCACATACTTTGAGTATGTTGCCAGGATGTTGTTGTGGTGTACCATAGAGTAACTAATGACCCATAGCTGACCTCCAGTGGGTTTTTCAGAAGCGGTTAATTATAGGGGAGGAGATTGCCAATCCTTCTCCTACAGAGTAGCCAGTGGCCTTCAAACATGTGCCTTCAAGATTGCAGCTCAGCCTCTTGCCACTAGGCCACCAGAGCTCCCTACTTTGAGCATGTTGCCTGGATAGGCTTATTTATTGGAGAAGAACATCATACTTTGGAAGGTAGATGGATGGCAACAGAGAGGAAGAGCTTTGACCATGTGGATTGACACAGTGGCTGTAACAATAGGCTCAAATGTGTTAGAGATTGTGAGGATGGCACAGGATAGGACCAGAGTTCAGATCTGTTGTTCATAATTGTACTTGACTTGATGTCATCTAACAACAACAACAACATATCAGAGATGATGAAAATGACATAGCATAGGGCAGGGTTCAGATCCTAGTGTTCCTAGAACTGTTCACAGAGCTTCTTTGAGTTGAAGAGGACTCCATGGCACCAAACAACAACAACATAGCTTCTAAGTTCTTTGGTAGAAGAAAATTGAGTAACTTTCTTGCTAGTGAATTAAGTGCTGTAGGGTATTTGTTGAGATTTTGGATTTGCCAACCCCCAGATTTCTGTTATGTACCATCCAGTGAGAAGTGACTCATAACTGACCCTCCAGTAGGTATTCATAGACAGTAAATCAGAGGGGAGTTAATTTTCCATCTTTCTCCCAAAGAACAACTGGTGGATTCAAACTGTGTATCTCTGCATTGACAGTGTAACTTCTAACCACTAAGCCACCAGAGCTCTTTAGGCAGCTTGCTTTGTTGTCCCTTTCAAACTAAGATTATCTCAGAAGAATGATTTGATGGTACTTATATCAATGACAACAACTCATTGCTGTTGTATCAGAATCAACTCATAGCTGACCCTCCATCAGGTCAATTGGAACAGGAAGAGATTGCCAATCTTGCTCTCTATTTTCAGCTGGTGGATTCAAACCATCTGTCTTTGGTTTGGCAGTGAAACTTCTTACCTGCTAGAATACCAGAGATCCTTACCTGAACAAGACAGAGACCAAGGTTCTTCCTTTTTAAAGACAGGGCCTATTTTGTTTGTAACATTTTATTAAGTTCTTGTTCAGCCTTGTCTTCAATCTAACACGTTACTTACTTTTTTTTTAAACTTCTGTCAGTTTGGTATAATATATCACCTGCTTATACTGAGAAGAACTTAAAGGAATAAAGCAGATAGATAAGTATAAAGAAAGACAAAGAAAGGGGATAGAATGAAAAGGCAAGGATGGAATGTGAAACATGCAGTTAGATCTGGTGCTAACTTTCCTCGATATAGTCTACAGATTTGTGTGATCCTAAGCACATCATTTGGTCTTCTGGGTTTGTCCCCTCCCCTATTTCCAAAGCTTGTTATTAGTAATGGAGGTTCATTAGGCAATTTATAAGTGTATTTTCTTTTTTAAACTCTAAGCTAGGAATGGACAAACTTTGCCAGCAGGCTGTAAATACTGCTAACCACTTGTTTTTGTGCACCTGAATAAGACACAATAGCTTTCACATTTTTTTTCATGGTTGGAAAAATTGTGAAAGGATTAATGTTTTCCAACACGTGAAAGTTACGTGAAACTGAAATTTCCCCATAAGTTTTCTTGAAACATAATCATATTCATTTAGATAGTATCTATGGCTTTGGTCCTCAATCAAAACTCTTGGCATCAGCAGCCAGGAAATCAAAAGATGAATTGGATTAGGAAAGTCTACTATAGGGACCTCTCCAGAGTACTGGAGAGCAAAGATGTCAGCCTAGAGACTAAGGTGTGCCTGATCCAGGCCACAGTCTTTACAATTACTTGCTATACATTAGAGAGTTGGACAATGACTAAAGGGGACAGAAGAAGAATCAATGCTTTTGAGTTGTGGTACTGGAGAAGAGTATTTAATGTACTATGGACTGCCAAGAGAACAAACAGGTCTGTCCTGGTGAGGGTTAAAACAAGTTGCTCTCTGGAGGCAAGGAATTTGAAGCTCTGTCTCACATACTTTGGACATGCTGCCAGGATGGGTAAGTCCTTGGAGAAGGGCATCATGCTTTTTAGAGTAGAGGGTCAGCACAGGATTGAAAGATCCTGGATGAGATGGCTTGACAACTATAACTGGGGTAACAGGGGCAAGTGTGTCAGAGACTGTGGGATTAGCTCAGGACAAGACGAGGTTCAGAGTTATTATCAAAGTTGCTATGAGTCGCATATGGCTCAATGGCATGTAACAACAACAGTGACATGGTTGGTTTATGCCAAGATGGCAGAGTTCAAAGGTTGCCACAGAAATGTCACGGCCCACAAAGTAAAAAATACTTCCTATCTGAAAGTTTACAGGCAAAATATCGCCTAGTCTTGCTCTGGGAGCTCTGTTGCTCTAACCCAAAGATATTGCCTCTCTGGCTGTTATAATCCATCTGTGACTTCATTGGATTAAGATAGACAATATCTACCTATGAGATTTACAGCCTCTGAAAAACCTCTGGAGGATTAGCTATGAGTTGGTTCTGACCTAAGGGCCATGAGTTTTGAGTGAGTTTTTTTGAATCTTGCATAAAGCATATCAGAGATAGTGAGGAATGTGAGTGATCTTCCCTTTGTTCATTGGGCTTTGTTCATTGGGTGGCCTAGTGTTAAGGAGCTGTGTTTGTGGTTCTGATCCACCAGTTGCTCCAAATGGAAAAAGATGAACAATCTCCTTTCCTGTGATTTACAGGCTCTGAAAAGCCTGAGGAGTCAGCAGTTTTGACAGGATGATACATAACAACAAAGTCAACTTGACTGCATTTAACAACAATAATTGCTTATCCTGTGCCATTCTATTAGTATGTGTTCATTACATATTTTTCCACATGCATATTATCCTATATAACCCCCAATTTGTTCAGCTTCCTGAGTGGAGGAATCCTATTTTGCATACCAATGGAATCCTATGCTTTATACGCTGATACATAGCTGAGGTTCATGATTTGTTGTTGAATAAACATCTACCACCAGTTCCAAAACTCCAAGAGGAATTTCCTAGCTAGTAGAAAATAAGTTGCCTAGTGCAGTAATTTACATTTTTAAAAACAATTAGGTTTTAAGATATTTCTTACTGGACAAAATTCCCCCTGCAAAAAAGCCCCGCGATTTAGCTATGCAATGAAAAGATACTTAAAAAAACAAAGAAAACCTCTTAAAATTGTTTTACTTCCTAAATAGAGTATGTGTTAAAAATACTGGTAAAACTGAGACTGCCTTTCTGCCTTTTACATCTGTGCGCCACGTTTTAAAAACGCCGATTATTGGAACATGGTTGTCAGGAACATTGTGCCTACTTTAAGCACAATCAAAAAAAATTTCAAGCGTGAGTAGCAATCAAAATGGGTGTGCTAAAGAGAAAAAAAAAGTAAATTTTTACATTCTGTGCGATGTACTGAATGTGAACGAACTATAGGTTGTGTTGCAGGTTTACTACAGCTGAGTCATTTCAGGACACTGATGTGTGTTTCCAGGAAAAAATGCAAGGCAGGAACCAGGATGAGGGGGCTCCCAGGGTTCCCCTAGGCAACCTCAGCGGTAGATACCGGTATTCCGTGGCGGGTGGCGGCGTGGTCCAAAAAAGGTGTCGTGGCTCCTTTAAGAGGCAGAACACCTTATTCAAGATACCATCTTGCACCAAGAGTTCACTTGCGCTCTCTACCTACCTTGCTATATCCCGCCTCCTTAACTAGGTATGGCCGACAGGCGGGGCAAACGAGCCTTTTCATTGGTTCAAAGCGTGCAGCACTCTCCATCCAATTGGTTCACGTACCCGTCAGTCGGCACTATTTCCCGCCCACCTGGACTAACCTACTAGGTTGAGTGAGGGTTCTTGTGTTAGTTCCTGTTAGGCCCGGGGCAGGGGAGTAGATTGAAGACTCTTGAAAATGCCGGGTGGTTTAGGGCAAGGGTGGGTGTGAGGGAGACGTGAGGAGGCAGCGACGAGAGACCCACGGCAGGCCTGAAGAAGAGCGGCGGCCGAGCCCGCCCTCCCTGCACCATGCTTATAGAAGATGTAGATGCCCTCAAGTCCTGGCTGGCCAAGTTACTGGAGCCGATGTGTGTTGGTGTGGCTTGGGCGTTGGCGGCCTATGTTGTCGTTGTGGTCCTGCGGGGGCGTGGTGGGAGGGGATTGGGGGTGTTTTGTGGCGATCGGTTTGGTGTCTTTTTTCCCTGTGGTACTTTTTCCATTGTTTGGGGGAGGTGTTTGGGTGTTTTGCGTTTTTGATTTGTTGCTGGGCTGTTTGCGGTTTGGTGGGGTTTTTAGTCGTGGTCTTTTGGGTCTTTTTATGTGCTTTTTTATGTGGTTCTTTTTTTTGAAGTATTTCTTTTGTGTGTTTGGCGGGGAGTTTTTTTTCGTGTTCTTTCGTGGTTTTTCTCTTCATTTTTGTATTTTGGCTTTTTGAGGGTGTTTTTTGCTTTTCCTTTTGTATTGGTGTGGGATTTCAGGTGGTTTTTGCGTGGTTTGTTGTTTTTCAGAAGCCTGTTGATGTTTGAGGGGTGCAGTGCTAATGATGGTTTTTCTTGTTTTTTTGTTGGGTCCTGAGTGTTCATGGTTCCTGTATGGTTCTTTTCTTTTGTTTGTTGCTGTGTTGTGTGCTGTAGGCATGATTGTGTTGTTTTTGTTTATTTTGTTTTTGATCTTAGGGACTTGTATTTGGTGTCTTCGGAATTTTCTTTTTGTGGTCTGTGAGCTTATTTGAGGTTTTTTTTGTTTCCTTTGTGGTCTTATGTGCTATCCTTTTGTTTTTGTTGTTTGCTTTTTTTTCGTTCCCTGCTTTTTTCTTTTTTCTCCTGCCGATTTTGCTCCCCACTTAGTTGTTTTTTCTTGTGTTGCTTATTCATCTCTTGTTTCGTTTGTTGTGTCTTTGGATGTTGTGTTTTTTTGGCTATTTGCCCTGTCTGGGCCGTATAGTGCGTCGTTTGGTTGTCGTGCTTCCTTTTTTCCGTTCTAGTCTGCCTTTTTTTCCTTGGACTTGTGATTGTTTGTCTTTTGTTTTTTTGTTTGTTTCGTTTTCTCTTTCCTTTACGTTTTTTGTTTTTCGCGGTTCCTGCTGTCTTGATTGCTTTTTATGTTTGCAAGATGTTCCTTTGCTTTTGTTGCGTAGCTCTTCAGCATTGTGTATCCTGTTTCCCTGTTTTTTGGTTACGTTTTTCTGGTGGTCTAGTTTTTTGGCAGTTCAAATGGTTTTTTGATGCATTGCTGCTGTAGCGGGGAAATTTGGGCTTTGTCCTTTTTTTTTGGAAGTAATGTAAATCTTGTTGAAAGGTTCGTAGTAATTAGCATGTGAGATTGTTTTTGAGGGGCTGGAAAGGTTAAGAAGGATTTGTCTATTTAAAGTATTTAGGGTAGAATTAGATAGTTGTGGAAATATTATGGGGGTGCTGAAGGGATAACAGAAGTGTTAGTTTTTTATTTTATAACCATTCCAAAAGTTAGAGAGTTAAACATACCCTATGATTAATATGGATCAGATTTTGTAGGTGAAAGAAGGAAAGTTGGAGGGCTGGAGAGAGGTGATACTTTTAATCCTCTTGGCAGAGAGTGCACATCTGGAAGGGGAAAGGTTCACTTTTTCTCCTCTCCTGATTTCTGTCTACAGAAATTTTCCTAGAGGTTGAATGAAAAACAGAAAATGTGACCATAGAGGGAGAGGTATGGGCAAGCTTGGTTTTCAGAGGTGGAAATAAAGAGAAGATATGTACAAATGTTAAGATTGAACTGTTGGGAGACAATGTTAGGCTGTCTCCTAGTTCTCCTGAGAAGCCTTGTTAACTTTTTGTTTTACTACTTTGGTTTCTTGGGTGGGTGGTAATAGCTAGGAAAAGAGTCATATATATTTTTCTGTGCCTGTCCTTTAAAGGCAAGCTGGTTCAGGGACAACTTTACGTGACTTTTATATTCTTAGTATAAAAGGAGTATGTGAATAGAACACAGGTATGGATAAATACACACTATATGGATTGACACAGTGACCATGACAGTGGGCTCCAGCATATCAGAGATAGTGAGGATGGTTCAGAGGGTCACTGTGAGTCAAAGTTGATTCATTGGCACCTAACACCACCACCAACGTCTTCTGAGGCTGTAGATTAACAGTGATCTGCAGCTCTCATGGTAAGGCAGGCGTTTCAAATCCAGCAGTTGCTCAGTGGAAGAGGGGCAATCTCAAGTGCGATTTGCCTGTTACTCTGAAACTTGCCCTGAGCCTCTCTCACTGACTCCAGTATTGCCCCATTTACCTTATCAACCCATCTCATCTGGGGTCTTCCTCTCCTGTGCTGTCCCTCCAACCTTCTGAGCATGATTTCCTTCTGCAAGGACTGGCCACATTCCCAAAGTATATGAGACAGAGCTCCAGAATCCGAGCCTCCAAGGAGGAACTTGGTTTCACCCTCTCTAAGACAGACCTATTTGTTTTCTTGGTGTTCCATGGTATATGTTCAAGACTTCCAACACCACAATTCAAAGGCATTGATTATTGATTCTTTTTCTGTCATCCTTAGTCGTTGTCCAGCTCTCTGATGCATAGCAAGTAATTGCACAGATCAGGTGCACCTTGGTTTCTAGACTGACATTGTTGCATTTCAGTACTCTGGAGAGGTCCCTGACAGCAAAATTTTCCCAGTGCAATTCATCCTTTCCTGGCTGCTGGTGCCAAGAGTGTTGATTATGGAGTCGAGCAAGCTGTATTTGTTAACGATCTCAATCTCTTTTTCCATACATCATGGTGTTTCCAGTTGGCTCAGTGGTGAGAATCTTTGTCTTCTTGAAGCTTCAATCCATACTGAAGACTTCAGTCTTTGTCAGTCTACAGCAAGTGCTTTAGGTCCTCCTCAATTTTAGCAAGCAAGGTTGTGTCATCTGTATAACATAGATTGTTGATGAATCTTCCTTCAGTTCTGATGCCACATTCTTCCTCATAAAGGTTAGCCTCCCATATGATCTATTCTGCCTGTAGATTGAAAAGAAATGGAGACAAGATGCATGCCTGCTGCACTCCTTTCCTGATTTTGAATCATGCAATGTTTTCTTGCTCTCTGTACTGAGGATTGCTTCTGGTCTGAGTATAGGTTTCGCATGAGCACAATCAAGTGTTCTCAGATTCCTATTCTCAAGGTTAGCCACAGTTTGTTGTAGTTTCTGGATACCTGCTGAAAGCTCAGCTCTGACTTGGTTCTGATGCTATGTTAGCAAGTTTGAGTTAAAGTGAAAATGACTTCTGTATAATGTTATGTATTGTGGAGTCAGAACCAACTCATAGCTGACCATTTTCTAATGGGTCTTTCCCTCCCCGCCCCCCACCAATGGGTTTTTAGAGGTTGTAAACTGCACAGCAAGAGACTGCCTATCTTTCTCCTGTGGAGCATCTGGTAGATTTGAACCAAGTGCCTTTGGATTGGCAGTGTAGCTCCTTACCACTGGACAGGATTTGGGCCTCCTAAGGATTTATCAGACTAGTATGCTGTTTTACTGACATAGAACATATAGAAAGCCTGAGGAAAAAGTCTGTGCTTTTTTTTTGAAAGAATTGTTCACTCTTCTGGCATTTAAAGGAAACTTGGTGTCTATCTGAAAGGTTGGTGGTTCAAACCCACCAAGACATTCCATGGCAAAAAATAAGAGACAGTCATATTTCCAAGGCAGCCTTGGGAATACTATGGGACAGTTTTACTTTGTCTTGTAGGGCCTCTGTGAGTTAAAAATTACATATTGTAGGAACTCTGGTGGCCTAGCGTCAAGAAGCTGCACTGCAATTCCAAAGTTGCACAGTTCAAATCCATCAGATGCTGCGCTGGAGAAGGAGGGGCAAATTCCTCCTGTGCCAGTTGGATCCAATTCAACGGTACACCAGATTAAAAAGAAATAAATTTAAAAAAATTACTGTAGTGGGTTTGGTTTTGGCTTACATTATTTCAGATTAAAAAGGGTAATTCTTCTACTTAGGAAACTCTGGTGGTCTACTGAATAGGGAGTATGCTTCTAACCTATTGGTGGCATCTCTCTGTTAGGTTAAATCTACCAGCTGTTTGCTTCATGGAAGAAATATGGACAGTCTCATTCTATCTAATTTATAGACTGTGAAAATTCGTTGGACCTATAAGTTGGTTCTGACTGTGGCATTGAGTATACCTTTGTTTTATACACCTGCTTTTCCTATGGTTTCACATACTTGGAACATGTTGTCTAGAAGGGCTAGGTTTTAGAAAAAGACATTATGCTGGGATAGGTGCAGAGAGAAAAACAATCTCAACAAGTTGGGTTGATAAAAAGACTGTACCAGTGGGCTGGAGAAAGCTGAGATCTGGAGGATGGTACAGAGTAGGGTAAAGTTGAGACTTCTTGGTTTTAGGGTTGCTTTGAGTTGTTGTTGACTTGATGACACTTAACAACAAATTCCTTTTGCCTTTTTTTTTTTTTAAGAAAAAAATGCACCCCAACACACAGTTTAAATAGGTAAGCTTTGATTTTGATGGTAGAGATATTAAGGATATATTTTTTTAGGTTTGGGTTTTTTTTTTTTTTTTTGGTCTTGGATAGAAGATAACTTTTAATACAGATTTTTAAAGAAACACTCAGTTCTCTAAAGTATCCTCTGGGCAATAGTTTTTTTAATATGAAATTCTTTTTTGGGTAGGAATTGAAACTTTCTAGGAATGTTTTCAGGGAGATTTGGTGGCTTATTGGGTAAGGAGTTTCACTGCCAATGTTAAGGCAGGCTATTTGAATCCACCAGCTGCTCCAAGGGAGAAAGATGAACACTTGATAGCCATGTGATTTACAACCTCTGAAAACCTGATGAATGGCCAGCTAGCGATCAGCTGGTTCCTACTCCATAGCAGTGCGTTTGAATTTTTGAAGTACATACTTAAACTTTTAAACTTAACTGCTGGGAGATTCATATTTGTTATTGTTCATAAACATTCTGTAATTTTATGGGTAAAGTTTTGGCAGTCAGATGATTTAGAAAACAAAAATTAGTGTCTCCTTTTGATTTGAGGTGTATGACACACATCATGCCTCTTTAAAAAATTTTTTTTCTACTTTATTAGAGCTT